GGGGGGGGGGGGAGAGGAGACGGCCTGTAGCAGGGCAAGCGATACTTGCGGACGGAGCAACCGGCCTCGGGAAGGGGGTAACAGGGCCAATGAGAGACGTTTTTGTGAGCCTCACCCCTCATTTTCCGTGCGATTTCCTCCACGCGTGTTCCCGCCAACGGTCCCTCTACTGCTTCCTCTGCGTCTCGTCCTGCTTGCTCTCCGGATGCCCCCCCTCTGGTGGATGCTGCACCTCGGTCCACTCCACTATTTCCTCTCCGCGGTGCCCCCCACGTGGACTCCTCTGCCTCCGGTGGTGGTGGGGATGGCTGTGTTGAATGTTGCGACGTCAGAGACGACGGTCGATGCGTCGACGAAGAAGGAGAATACGGCGAGGAATTGTGCAGTTCCGCCAGGGTTTCCCCCAGGAGGTCGATCGTTTTCGCGTCGGTGATGCCGTGTTGCCCGCAGAAGAGCTCCGCGGCGCCCCGAGGGTCCTCCCGTACGCGCATCGTGAGCCCTGAGCAGAGTCAGAGGGCATCATTGATTAACGGGTTTGTAAAATGTTCGCCGATTGAAACAAAAAGGAACAGGCACCCGAAAACTAAACTGCTTGCTGTTTTCAAAGAAATGGAGAGAGGCCCCTCCGAACATATCTACAAACAAGACCGAAAAGATTTCCTTAGTCCGACATGTTAGTATCGATAGGCAAGCCTCGTGACACGGCAGATTGGAAGAACCGGCAACGCGATGGTCGATCCCGATAACGGCGGGCCCGGCTGCTGTGGTTTAGCTACGATGAAATACTGCTTGCCTTCCTGCCTCGAACCTTCTGTACTCTACACGTGTACACCTCGAACATTTCGGACACGCGAAGGCGCAGCTCGGTATCCTACGCAACAAGTTTGGCGGCCAGTCTGGAAGTAAGTGTGTATTGCGCATGCGTCACCGGTGGTCGCCTGTGAAATCACCCAGGAAACAGGACCATTGCGACAGTTTACAAGACCGAATGTGTTGGTTGTCGAGAAATGTTGGTTGACGTGTAGAAGAGACAACTGCGCGGTGACTCGACGATAACCTATGGCTGCCTAATCGAGGTCAGTCTTGAATAAATCAAGAGCTGTGCGACGTGTCGACCAACGGCCTCACACTCTCTGAGGCTAAGAACAAATGATAGAGCACCTCAGAGAACCATCCCCCGTCAAGTGCACGAGGGTTGTACCGAGGTGAGTCGCAAAGTAGCATTACACGGCGGGGAGCCGCTGCCGCACTTCTTGCGAATGACTGGACCCGTGCGAGTGAAACGAGGCATGACGGGGTGCACTCCTTCGATGGACTGTTGGGCACAGACCAACTCGAAGGGGACGACCTTTTTACCGGTCGAAACTGTTTATAGATGGGGGAGGGTGGAAACGTTTGGCCGCCCTCGGCCTGACGACTTCAGTTGGTCGGGGCGAGGGCGCCCAGATGTTTCCACCTTTCTCCATCTACAAAACAGTTTGAACTGGCAAACAATTCGTCCCCTTCGACATGGTCTGCGCCGAACAGTCTACGCAAGGAGCGAACCTCGTCATACTCCGCTTCGCTCGCACGGGCCCAGTCGCTCGCAAAAAGTGCTGCCACGACTCCCCGCTATCCAACGCAACTTGCAATCTCGCCATGGGGGTCCTTTTGTCTGCAGCTGCAAAGTCTCTCAGCATGTCCACCATGACTGCGACTTCATGCCGACGTTGTTCACTATTGTGCCCCCGCACGGAGGGGAAGACGTCGGACCTACAACCCCTGATGGCGCTGTCATTGGCTCTGCACTCTCCGTTGGTACACAGGTTAGTTCACGCATTCGAGGCATTCCCACATATCATCCACCTTACACAATCTCAAAAAAATTACATATTTTTCCCTTCCGTACACGCTGCATCTCTGACCATCTCATCCTTCGTACCCTTTCTTCTATTTTTCCATAAACTCACCAAGCAGGTGCTCGGAGAGGTCTTGGGCTGCGACGGCGACGACTTCGTCAAATTGGAGGCCTAACACCAAGATATTCGTGCGTCGTTTACTACTGGACACTACATTTCGTGCAGTCATCGAGAAGAAACGGTGGTTCAACCAGACGCGTGTATTTTACTGTTTGGATTATCGTCCAAACCTTCGCTTCCTTGCACTTCAGTCGTCTAACTTGTGTCCCTGTGCGATGCGATTTTGAGACCCTTTAATCACCGTTGCTTACGGCTAGACGTACATATTCATGACCCCAGGCATTCATATCGACAATGGCGACGAGTAGGACATGTGACGGAAGAGCTGCGCTGAAGTTCACGCCCCGACAAGTTCACATTGGCGCTGATCTGCCGATGCTGGGTGCTTGAAGCGTTTCAAAATCGGACCTCACCGCAGCAAAAATCCAAATAATTTATAGGATAAAACCTCCTACTAGGTAAGATATTATATATCTTTCCCTTTAGTCCATTTGTTACGATGTCTTTTTTTAGGCTTTTTTTAGGCTGTCTTTTTTTCAAAAATGACAACTGGCCAAATAGCCCGGTGTTACAACGTCTTTTCTTGCTAAAATATGACAACGAACCTTATTTGACAGCCTATAACACGGGGCTATTTGGCCAGTTGTCATTTGTTTTAAAAATTACAGCCTAAAAAAAGCCTAAAAAAAGACATCGTAACAAATGCCCTTAAGGCAATAAAAATAGCTTTTAAGGGGGTCTAATAAGCTACCAAGTAAGAACGTATATCTCTTTATATTTGAACCCTCTTAAGGGTTTTTTTAAGGACTTGTAGCTCCCCCGATCGCGATGATAAAACGATCGTTTGAAAAATGGTCTGTTGTGTATCACCAGGACTGCAATCTCAGACACTAACTTTTTACAAAAGCGACCGCTTGCGGACGGTCAATGTGCGATGATAGTTTCGTGTTGGTGTTAGAATTTGGAAAACTGAGATATGCAGACGTTACCAGCTTTTCCCTGGATTTCTGGACAGAAGATACCGCGATCCCCCCCCGCACATTGTCTTTGTCTCTGTGGCCTCGGCCGACGGAACGGAACAGTAGAAGACGTCCATGCTGGTGACAAAAAAGTGCGGGCCGTTCGCCTGGGGGCTACTGTTGTGGACGTTTGAAGCCGAAATCTATTTTGTCAGCGCGCACAAGTCTACAAGTCTAGACTCCTAGACTAGACAACTGTAGTAATGGTTTGCTTCTCAAGCACGCACTAGACTACTGCTGTAAGCAGTTTCGACCGCAAAGAATTGGATTACTGCGTCTTACCAACAGCTCCTTCGGGCCGTGCCCCCATTTTTTGTATACAAGCGTCCTTTCTGTAGATTACAGCGGTGCACGACAGCTATCGCCCGCGAGAAGAGAGGGAATCGTCCCCGATAGCAGTGTGCCTTTTGTGGTGGGATCTCCCGCATGTGCCCTCAAAATGGCACGAATAACGCGCGCCGCGTATGTGCTACAGCAGTAGATGTATGCATGCTGAATCTGATGTTTTCAGCGCCTTTCTTCATCAGCCACTTCATTGAATAGCACCTCCCCCCGCATTTCCTATTGTAGAGGGCCTTACCTTGGGCCTATTCTCGGTGTGGATCGGATCCGACGAAGGTGTTTTGGATCTTTCGCGAGGACCTGGCGAGTTCGTGAAATTTCCAACCGCTGCACCGGTTGGCAACGGATCTTCTCTATGCTCTCGTCTGCGATCTGATATCCTGTAGCGCCTGAGGGAGTACCCGGACTACACGCACGCCAATGCACGTCAGATGCGGCTGTGTGTGGGCAGTCAGCGCGGTCGATCCAACGCTTCCCAGGAGGCTCCAAGCCCCAGGGGGCTCGCAGCATCTATTTGAGAGCGCAGGGTGCATTTAAATCTGTAGCCGCGTCCCCCCGTTGTCTCGCCCGTCTCCCCGCCTCCTCGTCCCTCCCCCCCATGTACCCCCCATTATCAACCTCTCTCTCTCTCTCTCTCTGTCTTCTTCCTCGGCTGCGTGGAGCAGCTCGGTGTGCGTCAGCGTGTCAACTATGGTGAGCCTCATGAGAATAGCAGTGACTACTACTGTTGTGTTCCCGGTTCCCGGCTGTCTCGTCGATGTCTACGAAGAAAAATGCGGCGGAATATGCGGGAACGCTCCTGTCGTTCGGGCAAACCGGCAACCCATCCCATCGCCCACCCGTCCACCCGTAGTCCCGGTCTTTGCTGGTCTCTGCCTGCCGTGCACTTTAGCTCGTTGCTTGTATTGCTCGTGTGCTCTGGGGTGAGAGGGATGCTTCTTCTTGGAAGCGTCCCTCTCGTTGTTTGCTGAGTGCCAAATGACAGACAGCGGCGGTAGTCAGCGCAATGGCAGTGCAACCCCTTGTTGCCCCGACTCCCGAGAGCGTCCACGCCGTATGTTTGGCATATCCGCCGGTAGTAGCTGATGCACTGCCAGAAATGCCATACCGCAGTGCTGAAGAATCCCATCTCATGCCTTACCTCGTGTTGAAATCAGCGCTGGTCGGCACGTGTTTGGCTTATGTGTTCTTCAGCGCCTGCTTATATCCAGTGCAGCATAACCCGCACCCCCCCGGGTGGTTCGGCACACCACACGCAAGGATGATGACCAGCTTGGTGGTTCGTCCTTTGGGTGAAGGCGGGTAGGTAGCCACTGCGCCGCTTGGAGCGTGGGTTCTGGTTCTTCAGGGGGATTGCTCCATGCGTCAGCAAGTAGCAGTGGCAGCAGCAGGTCGTCTTTGGGCTCCCATGACAGCACGGTTGGGTTCGCAATGTCAGCCGACAGGTGGCCCTTATGCCGTGAATACTTAGTAGCTCGAGTCTAAATGTAGCACACCCGTGGTACCTGCGTGGTGGAAGCACCTGCACATAGCCGTGTTTGTGGACTATCCATGTTGGGTTTTAAGAAATTCTACACTAAGCGAAACCTACATTAAATGACGGTGTGTTAAGTTTGACGTCCTGTCAACTAATCCCCCCGCCCCCTTCAGCGCGAAGCTGTTCTTGCTCGAATCTGTTGTCAACGAAACCAACCAACAACGAAAGAAATAACTCCTAAAAAACCGACTTCCACACCACGTCAACTGATCCCCCCCCCCCCCCCCCCCCCCNCACCCGTGGTACCTGCGTGGTGGAAGCACCTGCACATAGCCGTGTTTGTGGACTATCCATGTTGGGTTTTAAGAAATTCTACACTAAGCGAAACCTACATTAAATGACGGTGTGTTAAGTTTGACGTCCTGTCAACTAATCCCCCCGCCCCCTTCAGCGCGAAGCTGTTCTTGCTCGAATCTGTTGTCAACGAAACCAACCAACAACGAAAGAAATAACTCCTAAAAAACCGACTTCCACACCACGTCAACTGATCCCCCCCCCCCTCCCCATCCTCGATGCGCTCGTCTTGCTCGAACCTGTTCTCCCACCAAACAAACCAACAACTATTCACAAGCCGGCGTATCACTCCAAGCAAAGCGACGAGAACGCGCAGGTCTGCTGCGGGTGCGCGATCTTGC